GTCTTCATGATAAGCTGATTGCCTTATCCTTGACGGCAGCGCACAGTGAGAGCAGTAAAGAAGCAGGATTACATGGTGATGGTCCATAAAGGGTTTGGCTTAGATAAGATGCTTTGTGGGAAGAAGAGGGCCGGTGACTTTAGGGCAGGAGAAAACAGGTTTTCTGATTTAGAGTCAAAAAAGCCAGAGTTTGCGCTCGCGTTTTTTTTAAATTTAAGGATCAATCGTGAAGTTCAGTTTAACCAGGAGAAAGGTTAGTTTATGTGTTTTCAGGATGGTCTGAGCAGACAAGGTCATAAAAAATACCGCGGCCCATGAAAGGAAGCCATTTCAACCTTTAGCCTGTTCCTTACTTAGTCATCTCGAATGTTTGCCAAGACGGGAAATTACTTTAAAAGTGTTCTCTGAGCTTCTCGCATAAGTTTTAAAAACATTAAAACTGAGGTGTGTGTGTATTTTGGTTGTTCCTTCTCCTGCAGTGTTTTGCTGGCCTGATTAACTTTGTGTGTGCATTGTTATGCCAGTAGTCTCAATAAAATTCCTCCCCGCTGAGGTCCTCCTTTCTAATCTTCAGAATGCCTCTGTTAATGAGCCTAATAGCATATGAGCGATAGCACACCTAAATGAAGCCGCACAGGGTGACTGCTTCAGCAACTTCCCGCAATGCAATGCACACCTTCATGGCTTCAGTCCATTCAGAGGAAACCATTAGAACAAACTGCTCTTAGGTGCAGCAAAGCAGACCGGGCATGATCATTTATGAACTAGATCACCTCTGGGTGCCCTACGGAAGGACAAAGCACAGACGGTCTGCTTAAAACTCTCACACGCTTCATCTAAGGAGCAATAGAAGTGGTGAAGTCATGGAAAAAAATGTATTTAATTCTCATGATCAGTGTAATCAGTAACTAAGTTTCCCTTTAGTCATGGGAATTTTTTCCCCTCTAAAACCTCTTGTAGCATTTCATAATTATCCATTAATGTGAAAAAATATTAGGTTAGAATATGTGAAAAAAGTGCAGGATGTGCAGGGTCTGTATAGTTTTTTGGTAAAGTCTGTTGTTGTGTGCCTTAGTAATGTAGACAGATGACTAAATGTCAACAACCTCATTATGAGGTAGGAAAGTTTCCTGGTCTGAATGTTTGTTCTGGGGATTTGTGGCTTTTCACAGGGAAATAAAAGGGAAAATTCAAATGTCTGAAATTCTAAGGAATCACGAGGTCATGCATTTACTGACACTACAAAATAAACTTAAAGCTGAATACTTTTTCACATTTAAATCATAATAATTTATAAAATGTTATTAAAAACCAGTTTATTCTCATTTTATATCAGCGATTGAGTGGAGTTCTTTGCAAAGAAAGAGAAATACTTCCCTCATCTGGTCAGAGTGTGGAAGTGCATAAAAGACAACAATGTCTATCTACACTACATGGACCAAACTGTTGGGCCACCTACACATCACACCTACTGGAGCATTTTCAAACCATAGATAATAATATAGAGCTGGTCCTTTTGCTGCTACAGTAGCTCCCAGTTTTTCGTTTTTGTTTTTTGGGGCGAGAGGGCTTATACAATATTCTGAAGTGTGTCTGTGGGAATTTTTAGACATTCTTAAAGAAGAGCATGTGGGCGGATAGACACTGGCTCCAAGTCTCCATTCTAGTTTGTCCCAAAGATACTTAATGGAGGCTATCCTTGGTATCCTTGATGGATACTTGGTGGATCACGTCTTTATAGACCTTGCTTTGTGCACTTGGGCACAGTTGTGCTGGCAAAGGGCCTTTACCAAATCATGAAGCTCAGGTTTCATGGCATGGGTAGATTTGGAACTTGCAACTATTGAGTGAGCAGTATTGGTGACTTTTGCACACTTAGCTCCTCAGCACATGGTGACCCTGCCCTGTGGCCAAAGGCACAAGGTTGTGGTCATACTATAGCCTTTAAGACTCAGTCAGGTGTTATTCAGATTTCACTAAATAAACAAAAGAATACCTGAGTCACAGTTGTATCAAACATCCATGTTAAAGTTTGGGGGTTTAAGTCATAGACTGTACAGTACTGTGCAAAATTCTTGAGCCACTCCTCATTTTAGGGGTTGTCCCCTGCTGGCCTTCAAAAGGAGTAAACAGGGATGGAGGTTTTTCTGGTTCTAAAAATAAACCTGCTTAGGAGAAACCAAACCTTGCAATTGTTATTATCTAATTGCATGTATTTTCACAAGTTGGTACTGGTGATAGTCCCAGACCAGAACTGGGTCTGTGTATGTTATTTGTGAACTGATTATTGTGTAGCATTGACAGCAGAAGTCTGTGTGATTTCAACTGAAAAAACACTGTGGTGAACAGAATCTTTGGACTTCATCTGTCAATCATTGGTGAATTTCTTACAATAGACAGTGGACTTCAAACTTTGGGGCTAGCAATTTATTGGGCAATCAGATGTAATTGTGTGGGTATAGATGGGCACTTAACTGAGCTGCTGTTAATTCCACATGTGCTTTCCCTACTGTGGTACGGAGGTGATAGTGATTATGTTTCATGTAAAAAATAAATTTTAAAAAACATGTATGAAAATCACTATGGGCACTATGCAAAGAAGAGCCAGTGCATGTTCATCTCCACACTATGGCTCAATATAAATAATTCAGGTCTTCTTGTGCACCTTTTTTCAAACACTAGACATTCATCAATCACAACAATAGTGGACAAAAATATTAATTTTCAAGGATTTTCATCCAATGATGAATTCAAATTTGACTTTCCCGGACAATAACACCACATACTTCAACCTACGCGCAATGTAATTGCAACCAGCGAATCCAGTAGCTTCTATTAACACATGAATGTGTTTCTCAACATCCCTGATGTTTGAATCTGAGTCATTTGCCTCCTTGTTGTGCCAGCGTGAAATACGCCCACTGGTCATCTCGAAGTCTATGAGGGAGCTGCAGAGCATAAACATTCACCACATCAATGAGAGCCACGCTCTGAACAAAAGAAAGGGGTATTTTCAGCCAGCGCCAAAACATCAGCCTCTTTAGAGCAATTCAGGTTATTCATATGCTTTTCATATTGAAGCTGTGCTGAGCTGAATAGAGCTATTTAAGTGCAGAGAGGTAAAAATGTTGCCATGAAAGAGTCCTTTTAAGACTTTTTGCAGATTTGGATATGAAAGCTATTTAATGACAGTGTGAGATGGAGCTGGATTTAAATGTGCTTTAACACTATGAGAAAGTTATTTGGTAGAAAACAATACTCTTTATACTGAACAAGCCACAGTTCAGAAAAATACCCCGAATTTGTGTCAAAGTGTGAAACATGGCTCTAGATATATATTAACTGTGTGACTAGTTTTCAAGCAGCAGGGGTTAGTTTTTGGTCCAGTCAATTATCTATGCTGTCTACATGTGAATGTGCTCCGACCATGAATTACAGCTCTGTGTGGGAAGATGGATGAAGGCAGCCAGAGGCTATGAAAGAGAAAGCAGTCAGGGATGTGGAGGGGGGGGGGGGGGGGGGGGGGGGGGGGGTGCTGATGGGAAAAACAAGAATGTAAAACAGCAGCGAAGGCTGGGTAGAAAAGCAGACGGGCCTCTGACGCACTTCTGTTTAAAGTGTGAGTGAATGTGAGACTAATGATACATCACGTTTTTAACAGCATTCAGACTCCTTATTCGTGCCACTCACTCGTGGCTTTCTTGCTCACTAAACAAGGGCTGCAAGTGAATCCCAAATATTTTTTAAAAAGAGGAACTTTAGAGCGAGTGTGATGCAATGATAAGTATCAAAAGAACAAAGCCTTGCTTAACTCCAGCGAGCATCTTATTTCATCCACTCTGACCCCAGTCTGTCGCTACGAATTATTCATTAGTCACTTGTTCTTTGATTTGTCTGCTCTCTCAGCTCTGCTGGCTTCGTGAGCTCTTGTTTCTACAGATTTCCACTTACAGACATCACGTAACTGCAGCACGTTACACAAGTGCCACCCGACTCATGCAGTTTTTATCAATGAGAAAACAACAGCCAAAGGCATGAACAAGATCTCTCTGCAGATGGTCTTTTTTGTATGCTGTAGTGCAATCACAATTTTTGCAGAGAAACAAAGCACACAATAAAAAAACCCCATAAAATCTGCTTTTCTGTGATATTAATACACAGTAATGCATGCCATTACACCAGCCCTTAGCCTGACACATAACATCTTGGCTGAAGGAGTTAGTTTCTTCATCTGCCACCTGTCATCTGCCGACAGGTTTTAACGCACACCAAACAGAACCGGCTCTGGCCGACTGCATGCGAATCAGTGAAATCAGCTGATGTAGTATTTAAACATAGATTTAGAGAGTTTGGGTGATTGCAGTGCATTAACTGAAAAACAAAATGATTCCATAATGACTGAAATATAGCGAAATATAGCACCACATTGTTAATCTGTTGTAACATAACTGACAGCTCATTTGAAATAGCTGGACTTTAATATGCTTATTTTAAAAGGGTCAAAGCTTTTTAGTTCTACAAATGCGCAAACATAAACCCATCAGCCATTTCATTCAAGGTGCTGGAAAGATTCCTGGAACATTTTGGTCCATATTGACATGACGGTATCACACATTTGTCAGCTGCACATTCACGATGAGAATCACGCGTTCCACCACATTCCAAAGATGCTCTGTTGGATTAAGACCTGGAGAGTGCCGAGCCCGTTTTAGTACAGTGAAATCAGTGTCATGCTCATGCTGAAAGGGACGGACATGGTCAGCAACAATACTTAGGTAATCTGTGGCATTTAAATGGCACTCAGTTGGTACCGAGGTATCATCAGGAGTATCATTTTGCTTTAAAAATGCAGCCTGGTAAGTCACCCTCAAGTTTAAAAAAAAAAATAAAAATACTGTGAACACCAACAGATTTAAAGTCAGACACTCGCATGCACGGGTACAAAAAACACTGTTGAAGCTCAGATTTGCCTCAGAGGGACAGAATGAAAGACCACAGTGTAATAAGTCAACATTTTATTTTATCGAGTTACATGGTTTTGGTTCTGTAGCAACCTACTGTATTTATTTCTGATGAAGTGCAATTGTACTCAAGCCAGTTACATTTGAGAGCAATGACAGGCACACGTTTTGTGCAAATTTAACAGCATTGGAACGGCTCCTACATATACACAGCAAAAATACATGCCAGAGGAAAACAATACTAAATCAGTTTACATTGACAATAGTTAGGAAGACGTCCCTCAAAAAAGAAAGAAAAAAAAAACTTAGAGAGAAACAATGTCAAACCAAGCTAACACTTGAGATACACATTTCACCCGTAGCTCACATAAAGGAGGGAACATCTGAGAAACATTCGGCCTTTATCTGTCATCTGGCTCTGTGCACGAAAACCCTCAAATCTGTCCTCACAGACAACATATTTAATCAGAACGCAAACACTGTGCATCGCCATTTCAAACTAGTTATGCAGACATTACAAAACGAAAAGCCAAAAATCTGAGATAGACAAGAGGAAGCCTGCTTCTTGTTGCTTTGAAAAGTCCCAACTCTGAATGCTTTGTCCTTACCTCATGTCTGGCAGTACACTGGCAATGCAGAACTAAAGGCATTGTGGGGGGGATGCAACTTAAAAAGGTAGCCACAAAAGACGTCACAACCTGAAACACATGGGCGTTGGTAGCCTTGGTGGAGTCGGCTGCAGATGCTTCATCTAAACATTGTCCTAATGCTGCTTTATAGCAATTACTGGGACAAGACACACTTAGCCCAGGCCATTATTCACAAACTCAAAGGTTTAACAAAAATAATAATAAAACACACAAAAGTGTCCAAGAAGAGCTTCTGTTTGTCTCCTATATAACGTTTAAATAATCTGTGGTAAAACATGCAGGAACACAGGATTATAAGACTCGAGTCCGAGTAGTTGAGATGGGAAATTTGGGTAGCCAGTCTCTAGTGTTACAAGTCGTACATTACAGGTTAAGGTCTGTGTATGGGAGGCTTATCGGCCCCCATCGTTCTTCACAGTGAAAATTTAAGAGTGGTCGAACTGAAAATCCCTGCAAATGATTGCACTGACTTGTGTTGGGTCCAAAATGTGACATCTTTTCTGAACACGGCTGCAATAATTTCACTTCTGCTGTGGGTCTGTCTTAAATCCCAATTGAAAACAGTGGAGATACTGAATGGCGTGCATCTTCAAGCAACATAATTCCTTGGAAATTGGCAGCAGAGATAACAAACCCCATTATTTGTTTTCTTTATATGATCACAGGTTAATGTGGACGATGATTTGCTAAACCGGTGCACGCGGGATGGTTTTACCACCAAAATCAACATTGTCTCGTAACGGGGTCTGGCAATGCCACTTGAGAAGGAAAGCGGATGCACCACTACATTCTACAGCTTTCCTTTCACGTACAATCAAGGGCCACATTGAAATCTTTTACAACCTAGAATTTAACAGCATCAACAAAAACTACTTCCGTTGCATTCAAATGGCAACTATCAAAAAGTAAACTTACTGTAACATACATATTAAATAGTGTATAGTCCATGCAATTGCGCATGGCCGGTTTTGCATCGTTATGGTATGTCGTTATTAGTGTATGGGAGACATCAGCCACCAGTGCATTTCCGATTTAGGTTCAGGGAGAAAAACTCCTCAATACCCATCAGAAACTTCTCAGCCTGACTTGAAGAGCAAGATGGCCACCTGGCCCAGATAAAAGTAAATGAAATGCTTTGTCTCGTGGGTGACGTAGCTGCCGAAGTTCCTCCCGACAATGCAGTGCCAAGTGGGGTTGTACTTCTTGTCAAACTCCTGAAAAGAGTCAAGAGGACGACAGCAATCAGGGTCCAAGTTACTTTATATGGATTGGATGGATTTATATTGTATAGAGGTCATGCCCAACCTTAATTTTCCTGAAGGACTAATTAAAATATTATTAGTTACAATGACATTATAGCACATTTAATCCCTGCTTTTTTCTATATCAAACCAGTTTTAGTTTCAGTTAAAGCTATTCAATAAACTGGATAACTGTCTCCACACTGTGGTTCTCAGCAGGAACATGGGAGTTGTATGATCTGCAGCGGGAAATGCAAAAATAGTTGATAATCTGTAAGCACTAATTTGTTATTTAGATCATTTATTTAAACAAGTTTAACATTCATGCCAATATGCTGCAGGCAAGTGTGTATGAGAACTAGAAACAGACTTGCAAAAGCACACAAAAACCTGCTTAGCCAGGCTTTTCATAAGAAAAACATTTCAGTTTTACTTGTTTATTACTACTATCGCTTTCCTTTTTCTTGTTACTTTGTGCATTAGCAGCCAACAGTTTGAAGTTTTTGTACTTCTTCTTAAAGCACTCTATAAATAAAGGTTTGAGTTCCACTCTTGTATTGGGAAATTGATGCACATAAAAACAAACAAATCAAAAGCTTTTTTTTATTCTAGTTTATGTAATTTCGTGTAAGAGCATGTGCAGAGGGGGCCTTACAAACATTACCAATGGGCTAGAGTGGAAAGGACCAAGGACACATAACTTATTTACCATCAGTTTTAATGCATTTCTATAAGCCCCTTTCCCCTCCAGTATATTCTGGATTCAAATGTTATACTTCAAACCCTTCATTTTAAATCTTTAATAACTTATTTTTGCTATATAACTTTCCTATAAGTTAAGTTGAAGCCAGTTGACCAATTAAAATCATGTCCAGTTGACACATTAAAGTAAAACACACATTAATGAATCAATGATTGTATGTACAAACTGTATAGGTTTGTGCATAGTGACAAAAACTTTTGTATTAGTACTCGAGTACGATTATGCCTTTTAGTAAGAAGTCAGAGACTGCCATACAGTCTTCATGCTCTTGTGCTGCCACTTCTGACTAACTGTGCCATGTTTCACCAAATTCTAAAAATCCTGGAAACGCCCCTGCTTTGGAGGAAGGATTTTTAAACGTGCCAAATAAAAAGAAAACCCTGACTATGTCTTTGATCACGTGTCTCATCTCCACGCTGGGCAAAAATAGATGTGAGAAAGTGTTAGTGTCTCAATTTGCTGATTATGCTCTGTCGGTGAGAGCTCTGCTTGGATCCATCCAAGCACCCCCTCCTGTCTCACCTTCTTGATGTAGGCTGCAATGTCCTTCTCTATGTTGTACTTCTCCATGGCCTGGGTGGCACAGTCCACCGCGTCCTGCTGCATGTCCTCGGACATGTCTGCGTTCTTGATCACAGCTTTCCTGTCAGTCATGGTTGAGGATGCCTGCGGAGGAAGAAGGGAGCACGTTCACGCACGTACCGCACTGAAAATTAACACCGCACGTGGTGATGGGGATGGTTTAGGCCAGCCCGGATCATCGCAAACACCACAAGCAGAAAACTGGCCATTTGGCAAAGCGTTTCCCACCAATCCCACTCATCTGAATCTACAACTCGTGGCTGTGTATTTGTGCCCATATGTTTGATCAGACGTTGACTTGAGCGTTTGCAAAGATTGAGTGCGAAACTTGATACAGGTGGAGTTAAATTACTTGGCAAAAATCACTTTCGGATTAAAGCAGCTTGTGCATCAGGAGGGCAAAAGTATCAAAATATGCCCACTCAAATATAGAATCCGCCAAAATACGCCAATACAACCTACATATCCAATCATTCAAAATGCAAAGAGGCATACAGGAACAGATCATCATGTAAGAACAAGAAAAATAACTCGAATCAGAAATATGTCAAGACATGAGAGTCAGTCTTTTTTCCCCCCCTCAGATTATGAAAAATATGCAACCCACCTTTTCTCGAGCCACCTGAAAACACTCCTTTCCAAAAATAAGTAGCCTATTTCACCCAGCCGGTGGTTAAGGTTAGGATGATGCTGCGGGTAATTGCTTTTTAAAGATTTACACAATAAGCATGTAGGTAGGTTGGCTCTCCGCTGTGCTCCAGCAGCTCCCCGCCCCTCTGCTGTATGCTGAACCCTGCCATTGGCTGGGCAGCAGCTTCCCCGTGTGTTGCAAGCGTTTTTCTCCAGCTCCTGTCTGCCGGCATCTTATTTCATCCCACAATGCATCATTCACGGTATACACCACCGACTGTGGGCTAAAAGGAAACGAGACCACGGCGCACGGCAGGCATCACTCGGCTGTGCGTAAAAGGCCCTTTCATCAGTCACCGTCACAGCTGAGGGACACGAGAGCTTTGAATAATGAACACGGGCAGGCTGCTGTGGTGGAGTTTCATGTCCACAGCTGCTGCTCTGCCTTTGTTTCCTAACTCCATGGTTATCCTTAGTTGGTTTGGTTACAAACGTAAATGTAATGAGGGAGATCAAACAGGTTTATTTTATTAATGGTAAAGAATTCGTGCTTGGGCTTATGTTGGAAATAAAGACAAACTAAATGTCCTTGTTTCAAAGTGTTTTATTGAAAATGCTAAGAGGAAGAAAAAAAAGATTAAGCAAAATTAAAAACATACAAACTACACCCATGTGAAACCCCTTTCCCAACCTCCCCAATTTTAATTCCTTCATACCAGGCATCTACGACTCCATCCTTTGATCCAACTTCCTGGTCCTCAGTTTCGTTTTCTTCTAATAAAGCCATTATCCCTGAAAACCTTTAAAAGATAGGCAGGATGGGGGCCTAATAATAAAAAAAATGTTCTGAGACTCCCATTTGTTTGTTTTTTTCTTTGTTTTTTTTTTTAAGTTCTGATATCAACTCATCTGAATCCTGGAAAACTGATCCCGTTCCGAGCATCCATCCTTGCCTATCCCTTCCCTAATCGATCCACTCATCCAGCTCCAAGGATTGGGATCCACTGAGCCACTCCTCCAATCAAAACCTTGAAATACCAGGAAGAAAATCAGAGGCAGACCGTTAGAATAAAATGTCAAGATTTGGGGGCCTATTTTTTTGTTTTTTTTTTTAAGCCATGTTGAAGCACTCATGTCAGATTCAGATTTTTAAATGCCACTGAGCACAAAAACAATCACTCCCTGAAAACATTTAAAGCAATGAGGATATTTAAGTGAGACACTTTGCATCAAAGTAGTGAATTCACTTTTTTCCCCCACATTTGACAGCAAAGATGTTACACTTACATCACAACACTTGATTTAGGACTGCTTATTCTGTCACAGGTCAGAAGTAGCATGTTAAAAACTGTATATATAACAAAGTACAGCACGTGGCTTTGTTAAAATGACATGCATGATACAGCAATCGATCAGAAACGTTCAATTTATGGAATATGAAGCGTACCATTGCCTCGACCTGATTGCTCCTAGATGTCCTATCCTGACCATACAAATGAAATGTTCTCCACAATGGTTTTATTCCAAATCACTTTAATCCTTCTCTTCAGATGTCTAAAGGAAGACACAAGGGTAAAATACAGTTAAGCATCGGGCTCCCCTTTCAAACAGCCCACCCCACATATCCAACGAGAAGCTTTTTTTTTTAATATATAAGAAAAAAACAAAACAAAACCAAAAACAAAACTTTAAATTTTCAGTACTTGCAAAAACATTGAGTGAAGGTTATAAACAACTCAACATTTTTGAAGTTCGACACAGCACAACTTCTACTTTTGCAAAACTTTAGGACAGAAAAAAGGGAGCGAGAGGTGGAGAGAGAGGGGAGTGGGAGGGAGAAGAAGGGACAAAGCTGCAGGAGACAGAGGGAAGGGTTGAAGCACGGGTGGGGGTGGTACAACTACATACCAAGATCATCCACAAGGACACCAGGACAAGAAAAAGGAGGGGGGGGAGGAGAAATTAAAATCAATAGCTGACATCTGGAGAAACTCATAGGAGGTAAAAACAGGAGGGTATACATCAAAAGGAGCAAAACATCGACGGCAGAAAAGCTTAGGAACGGGAGCGAGAGCGGCTGTGACGGGGTGAGTAGCGGGGAGATCCTCTGCCACGACCACGGGAATTGCTGCGACTGCGGCTGGCGCTCCGACTGCGGCTCCTGCTCCGGCTGCCACGGCTGCGAGAGCGTGATCTTCCATAACTTGGGCTGCGGGGACCGTCTAATTTCACACGAATGTAAGCAGTCTCTCCCTGGCGGACACAAGAGAACTTGACATTGAAAAGGCATACATTCCTGCCTACGGTGGAAATGCCACAGATGGAATTAAGGGCTGGCTGTTGTTCTCGACACGTCACGTTTCCTGACGTACTCACCTCAGCACAGCAAAGCATAGAACAATTATCCATGATGCTAAAAATCATACACATACCTCATGGGAGCGGAATTTGGTGTTGTCCAGCTTGCGAACGGCATAGGTCATGTCTTCTTTGCGCACAAATTCTACAACTCCAGTCCCGTCTCTGTAAACGTCTGCGTAGCACACGTCGCCTGCCTCACGCATGTGGTCCTTCAGGTCCTGCCAGCTGCCGCTCTGAGGGAGCCCTGAAAAACACCAATATTACATCAACACACACAGTGAACCCTCCAGCTGTGTTTATACGCACAAGGATGAATGTTTAAGAGCCCCAGAGCTGGTCTGTTTCAGATTTAGTCATTTAACACCAAGATACACTAAGATTTGCTGCTGCGTTAATAAGTAAAAGACATATTTCATTTAAAAATGTACTGGTTCTGAATACTTTTACATGTTTAGTGTGCACTGCAGCCAACTACCATGAGACTGTTTTCTTTTTATACAGATTAAGGGAAATTTTACTCTCTGGCCAGATCTACTCGATAAAAATAACAGCTCTCTGATGTCTGCTTTTTGTGACTGTCAACTTGTCCACTGAGAATTTACATCACAATCCACCCCCTTCTTGTTATACTTCAAAGCAGTATTACAGGAATGATTACTCGACCGTCAGTATTATCGAAGCCCTAGATCTAGATATCAGTGGCTGCCACCAATAAAGAAAATCACATTTATCCTTAGGAGTTTTTGAAGTTTTCTTACATCGAAAACATTTTTACCACAACGGGCTACCTAACACATACACAGAAATATGAATTTACTACCTCAATCATGAAGTCACGTCACTGGCTCCCAGTTCAATACATAACTACCTTTAAAATCTTTCACAAACATTTAACCGTTTGGCCCATCAGTATGTCTGACTGGCTAACCCAGTTAGAAGTTTCAGGTAATCAGGTGCAGATCTTTTAAATGTTCATAAAATTAGACCCAATGATGCTGAGGGTGCCTTCAGTTATTGTTGTCCTGTTTTTTGCAACAAAGCCGCCAGCTGACCTGAGATCAAGTTCAACTGTGTCTACATCCAAAAACCTTTTATTCTCAGTGGTTTACACTTAACTGTGTGTTTGAAATGTAGTCTTATTCCCTTGTAAAGTTCTGTTGTTTTTTGAGGTTTTCTTGCATTAAATCACTGTAGAGCTATGCAATTTATTTTTAACTTGTAGTTAAGCACATCCAGTTGATGTGTAACGTAACGTGCTATATAAACAAAACTGACAAAGGGAAATCACCATGTGTGTGAGAAAAATATTTAACCACTTGAAGTTATCAAATGGCCAGAAACAACAGCAATACATAATTTTGTCCCCGTCTTAACTCTATCCAGGTAGATTGTGCTTACATGCAGTCACTGCCCAAAGGCTCATTGTGGTTGTGCAACAGCAAGCTTGCATAGGCAAAAGCATTCAACAACAGTCTTAAAACCGCTGAAACACTCTACAGGAGATTTTGTTTCCATAACATAAACACAAAAACTTTCATGTCTCTCAAAAACTACGCTCACTATAATCATAAAAATAAAATAACCCCCCCCCCCTCTTCAGACAGACAAATAACTGCCTGGCATTGCATACTTTTAGTTTGTTTACCTGACACAACGACTCTGTACTCAGATCGTCTGGAGGGGGGTCCATATCTGCCTCTGGGCGCTCCTCCGATCCCAAACCCTCCTCTGGATCCCCTGCCGCTCCGAGGAAACTCCACTCGCAGTCTGTAGCCGTCGTAGTCGTATCCATCACGTCCATAGACGGCATCATCAGCGTCCCTATTAAATAAAACAGTTTCGCCTTAGACATAAACAAATGCACGAAGGAACAGGCTTGCAACACGCAAGCAGCCATGTTAGCGGCTAGCTTTATTACTTAACATCTACTAATCCGCTTTGCAAATGCAACTGCAGCATTTTAGTCTCATGAAAGAAATATAACGATTGACCAAATTAACATGTAGCAAAGCGTAAAGCTGCGAGTGCTTTGACGCAAGTCGTCTGCAGCGAAGAAGCGAAGCGGGTGTATTAATCTCCAGCAACATGGACATTAATACCACAAAGGCACCAAGCTTCAGTGCAGGAAAAACGGGACACAGGCGTATGCAAACCAAGTCGAAAGCGAAAGTAGCACGCGCGCACACACATACCAAATTTAATTACGGGAATAACAGAAAAAAAAACATCCAGGAAATAGTCTGAGCACTAAGCAACGCGTTAGCACACACACGAGTTTGTTAGCAACACAATGGGACCGCCTCGGGCCTGGCGCGGCTAACCGTTAGGTTCTTACCTGGGGTCTTCGAATTCAATAAAGGCGAACGGGGGTCCCCCTCTCCGGTTCTTCAAGTCGATATCTCGAATCGTCCCATACTTGTAGAACACGTCTTCCACATCTTTTGTGCGTATATCTGGCGGGAGGTTTCCCACGTAAATTCGGCAGTCGTTGTTCCCAGCGGGGCCTCGCACAACACCCGACATCGCTGCTAACTCAAGCTAACAGTTAGCTGTTTCCAGGATTCTTTAACGCCTGCTGGTGATTAGACCCCGAGCGCCTGCGAATGGTCGAGGCAAAAAGAAAAACGAGAACGCAATCAAATGAGCGCCGTTTTACGCTACACTGTGAAGGGTATTTACTGAGCAGACAATACTCCCGACGAGGTGACTCCTACCCCAGCGCGTTTTTTTTAACCGAGCAGGGCATTCATCAACACCGGAAACACTACAGCCGAGTCTGACACATCCGCCTTAGAAAATAGTCCGACCATATCCAAAGCTATTAATGTTTTTGTTAATAACATTTGTCGTCAAATAATATATATTACAATATCATATAATGCACATCGCTTATAATGCAAGACTTGCTATATTGGTATTATTTCTATATAATATAAGCATCAGCTAAATAATAAATGTTTTATAAATATCGACACTTACCAACAGGCTTATAATTTTGCTTCATTTTTACCAGTTGTTAATTCAAGAATATAATTAATATAATTTTTTCAATAATACAGCCCAGAATGGGGAAGAAAAGTGATTTACGTGATATTCAATGTCGCATGGTTGTTAGTGTATGACAGCCTGGTTTGCATACCTCAGAAACTGCCTTATGCTGGGATTTCCCCACACCACCACCCATAGAGTTTATAGAGAATGGTCTCAAAACAAGAGAATATCCACTGAGCAACAGTTCTGTGAGCAAAAATGCCTTGTTAATGCCAGAGGTCAGAGGAGAATGGTCACACTGCTTTCAGCTGATAGAAAGGCAACAGTAACTTAACTTCCACTCATTACAACGAAGGTAATCAGAAGAGCATCTCTGAAGATAAAACAAATGAAATACTGAACAATAGATAATAGAAAATCGGAAAAATGTTGCCTTATCTGGATCCCCACCCAGTGGCCCCACCTGGCAAGACTGCCCTATGTTGATAATAATGTAATAAGGTTGCAGAAAAGCTGCTGCCAATCCCTGGACAAACCACTAATCCTTTTTTTGTCTTTACTGAACAGGTTTGTGCTTAAAGCTAACTCCATTCTGGGAATATGAATCTTAAGCTTCTTCTGTCAGCTCTGCTGAGAATCATTAAAGCAATGGGTGGAATTTCAGCCAATCAACCAATCCATTAATCAATCAGTTAAAGCAGATTATTATTGATTTCAAAATCTTATTTGGTTTTCATATATACCTATTTTCAGTGACATCAACTTTAACAGTGGAAAATTAGGTAGGCATATCATTCTTTTCTTTCTCTCTTTTTTGCGATATTTTTCAACTATCCTATATTTGACAACAGCATAATAAAACTGGAAATTCTGTTTTTGGTGTATTTCTAGTGGCCCCATATGGCCACCCCTATGAAAGAAATTCTGGAGGCGCCCTTGGTACCTAGGTCCAAGTTAAGGACAAAAGGAGTCTGTGTTTTTGAGGTTGTGGCTCCCAAGTTGTGGAACTCACTTCCGATGCACTTAAGATCTGTGGACACACCTGATACTTTTAAAAAGAAGCATAAAACCCACCTGTGGATTGCTTTTATTTAGTTTTAGTTTCTTTTTATACTGTCTTTGTTGTTGCATTTTATTTTATAGTCTAGAGCCCTTTGTGAAAATAGGGTAAAGCACTAGAAAGGTGCATAGGTGGGAACTAACAAAGTACAAATACTACATTACTGTACTGAAGTAGACTTTTCAGGTATTTGTACTTTATTTAAGTATTTATTTTTGTGACAAATTTTTACTTTTACTCCCTACATTTTAAAACAAATATCTGTACTGTCTACTTCGTACATTTTCAAAACAGACTCATTACTTTTAGTTCAGCGGTATCATTTATAGCTTTTTTTATAGCAGGCCGGAGGGAGTGCAGGAGTCCATTAGTTGTGTTTGCATTGCTTCAAAATGTAGCTAGCTCTAAAGAAAAGGAGGAAGCATGAAGTGAGGGACATTTTTTTAACTGTCAGGATATTTCAAATTCAACATTTCTATCAGCTCAACAAATATCAGCAAACACACTAACTGTTTGTGTGCAGTTAGTCACAGTATGTCTGGGAGCTGAAGGTGTATTAGCTAACTGCAAGCTAAAGGTGTATTCTCTTGCTGCTTGTGTACATACTGAGTACATTCATTAGAATTTAGATTCAAATATTTGTAATCTCATGTAGTAATATTATTATTATAGCACAAATAAATTAAATCCAGGGTCTTTCTGTGTGGAGTTTGCATGTTCTCCCCGTGTTTGCGTGGCTGCTCTTTAGATACTTTGGCTTCATCCCACGATCCAAAGACATGCAGTTAGTGGGGTTAGGTTAATTGAATGTGAACGTGAGTGGGAATGGTTGTCTGTCTCTATGTGTTAGCTCTGGGACAGACATGCGACCTGTCCAGGGTGTATCATGTCTCTTGCCCTAATACAGCTGGGATAGGCTCCAGATATATATACTGATGTGTCAAAACATTATCAAGGGTACATCACACTGTTTTGAGTAAATTTGTTGTTAGTTTTTCTTATTTAAAAAAAAGACTTGAACCGGGCTTTAAATAAAAAAAAAAAATGTCCATAAATATTTGAATGTGACATTTTGAACTATTAGGAGTTACGCGTATGTCAAACTACGGAATGGTGGAAATGAACCGTAACTGACAAAGAATATCACAGAAGCGCTCCAGCATCACGTGTCAGATGCCTTTTCTGGACATTTGACACATTAGATAACATATAGAATACCCTTAAATTACAGGGTTTGAAAGATGAAAAAAAAATGAAAAAAATGAAAACGAATTTTCTCCACATAGTGAATCAGTGTCTGTCGTCTTATAAAGAGCGTGACATACCATTAACCTTCATAAAACAAAACATCTCAATCAGACTTTACTAGAACACAGTTTTATTGCCTAAATACTTACATTTGAAATATGTTTATTAGACATATAATGCTACTAAGAATGATAACACACATCAGCATGTGTTGTATGTTACTTATTGAGCTGATTGTACTTCATACCTGGGGACTGTAGATGCAATTTAGCTTCAAGCTAATTCTCTTACAATATGTCTATTTGTGCATGTTCACTGCTAAACTAAATAAAGAAACTGAACTACACAAATCCACTTTCTCTGTCACACAAGCACAGAAGCTTCACATAACAACTTCTAAATAATAGATTGGGAGCTGTATCATATAGATTCAGCTTCTTTAACTATTTAGTTAACTGTGTTTTGAGTCGAACTAATATCATTACTGTGGAGCACATGTTAGGCTGGCATTGCAATATTAACTGCAGGATTTAAAGCTCTAGTCAAAGTACTGCTACAACACAAGTAAAGCATGAGCCTTTCATTCAGCACATGTGTTAGAAACACCCAAGGCCATGTTCTGATTGTTCTCATTTGTCAAGGCAAGATATTTCATTTAATATGTAGGCCAATATTCTGAAATAACCTAAGAAAATGCAGTACATCTCCTCTGTAATATATCTTGTTATGGTGTGGAAGAACACACTGCTAGTTAAAATGTTCTTTTTATACTCTTCAATATGCATGGCAGGAACCGTAAATGCGCTGGCCAGCCTCTCCATAGTTATCTCCACCGGTGTACTTTCCCTGACATGCCAGACTGTTCACCTGCAGATACAACAGAGAGCAAACAAGCAGAGAAACGTCATACAAATAGCAGCTGGTTCTTTTTTTTATGTGTGCATTAAAAAACGACTGGAAGCTACCTCTGCTCTCTTGATGAACTGTTCAGTGGCGGCTTTCTCATTTTCTTTATGTCCTCTCCAGGCTCTGAGTGCAGACGCCTGCAGGGCTCGTCCGAAGGAGAACGTCAGGACCCAGGGTTTGGGCAGAGGGCAGTTGTTGATGGCATTAAGGTGGATAGAGGCCTCCTCTTCACTCTGACCTCCTGACAGAAAAGCAATTCCTGTGGACGAAAACATGAATTTGTTCTGTTTGGTTTCTGCACACGTTTCTGTTTCTAAACCTCTAAATGAGAGCGTCATTTTAACTTACCTGTCACAGCTGGGGGAACTGTGCGGCGCAGAGCAGTGAGGGTTGCCATTGCAACCTCTTCTGGGCTGTATTTGGTGGAGCAGCTGTGTCCAGGAGTGACCATGTTGGGTTTGAGCAGAGTGCCTTCGAGGTACACGTGGTGGTCTGACATGGCCTTGTACACTGCAGCCAGGACCTGCAACACAGACACTGTTTTACTAAAGAAGCAGCAGAGTGGTACAGAATGTCTGAAAAACCCATAAAAGTAACAGTGCAGCCACTCCCTACCTTCTCAGTGACATACTGGCAGCGCTTCAGGTCATGATCACCATCAGGCAAAATCTCTGGCTCTATGACGGGCACGATGCCATGCTGTTCAAGGAAAGATAGATGATCAAACACTGTATATGCATTAGATTACAGTGATGTGTGGATAAGCATTTAGGCTTTATGATTTGGAGTTCTGACCTGCTGGCAGATACTAGAGTAACGTGCAAGAACATTCGCATTTTCTGTGATAGCCAGCTTTGATGGATTGACATCACTAATTTTGAGCACACAGCGCCACTTTGCGAAGACAGCGCCGTCCTTTTTATACTGCGCACAACGCTCAGACAATCCATCCAGACCTGTGGAGAAGTGTAAAAAGTACAAAGAAAAAACAGAGAAGGGAAATGTTCATAAATGGGAAATTGTGGTGATGAAATGGTTGATATCAGCAGCGGTCCAGTGTGAGTCGGACTGACCCTGTGTGGTGGTTTCTCCACAAGTTCCTGCCAGGGGAACAACACCTTTGTCAACCTGAAGAATGCAGACAATGATTTGAATCAAAATCCAAACCTATTATCATAAAAAGTTGATAACCTAAACAGATTGAATCCTAAGTGGTCAGACCTTGACCCCAACCAGGATTCCCCTGTCCCTGATCATTTTGACAAAGGGAACTCCATTATCAGAGTGTTGGTACAGGGTCTCGTGGAAGAAGATGACCCCTCCGATGCAGCTGTTGATGCGATCGTCCGCACTGAAGAGGATCTGCCGATACTGCCTGCGGTTCTCCTCCGTGTTCTCCACTCCGACTTGAGCCAGCCGCTTAGCCATACTGCCTGCAGTGGGTGTATTGTCAGTGACATTTAACTTACACTGGTGATAACTTACACTCTTTGATTGGATTGGACATTAGGTGTGCATTCACTAAATGTGCATGTTTAAAGAAGGAGCGCTACAGACC